GTGCATGAGGCAGAGTGTTGCCAGCAGGTGGAGGGAGGTGATCCTGCCCCTCTGCTCAGCCCTGGGGAGGCCTCACCTGGAGTACTGTGTCCAGTTCTGGGCTCCCCAGTGCAAGAGAGACGTGGCGCTACTGGAGAGAGTCCAGCGGAGGGCTACAAAGACGATGAAGGGACTGGAGCATCTCTCCTGTGAGGAAAGGCTGAGAGAGCTGGGCCTATTTATCCTGGAGAAGAGAAGGCTGAGGGGGGGGATCTCATCAACGTGTACAAGTATGTGAAGGGAGGGTGTCGAGAGGATGGGGCCAGACTCTTCTCCGTGGTGCCAAGGGATAGGACGAGGGGGAACGGGCACAAACTGAAGCGCAGGAAATTCCATCTGAACATGAGGAAAACCTTTCCTGTGAGGGTAACAGAGCACTGGAAGAGGTTGCCCAGAGAGTTGTGGAATCTCCTTCCCTGGAGATATTCAAAACCCGTCTGGACGCGATCCTGGGAAATATGCTGTAGACGACCCTGCTTGAGCAGGAGAGTTGGACTAGATGATCTTCAGAGGTCCCTTCCAACCTCAACCATTCTGTGATTTCAAGCAACTGTTTCCATTACTTTGTTATTCCCAAATTATAGATAGGGAACAAGCTGAGGGTTTTTCCTCATCTTGTCTGCTGGACAAGTCTTTCTTACGGTTGTCTTTCTTACCATCATTCCAACTCTTCAAAGAAGTTTTATAGTATCCAGCACAAATGGATTTTAAGCACTGATACTAGACATTGAATCCTAACATTAATACAAATAAACAGCAGAATGAAGTTACTAAGAGCTGCTCTGGTTACTCAGCACATTTGAACACGAAGCCAGTTCTATTTGGAAGTCTATACCTAGACTAAACAGACTTGTTTCAGGCACGTTTAAACTATATGCGCACGTGCGCGCCCCCGCCCCCCCACCACTGACCCACTACGTATGTTAGTAACTTGTGACTATACAGCTTTTAAAATACATTATTATTAACTTAAGAAAAAGAGAAGCCATTTTGAATTAATTATCTAAAGCCTAAAAAAAGATGCCAAACTTAAGACTGTAAAAATACTATGCTATAAAAAGTATTCCTTTAGGAAAGAAAAACATGTCCTCAAGGGCATACAATAAAAATATTCCTAAAGCATGTTCTCTCACACAGGATAACTAGGCACAAACAGCTCATCTCTGCATATCATCATGTCAGTCCCTCCTTTAGTTCATTGGCTAGAGAAACTAGCTCTCATTTTACAGACTATTTATTCATTAAGGCAAAAATATATAATATTTTGAGACAGAACATTTTACCCAAAAATTGGCTGACTTTCACAGCTCCTCCAGTAGCCTGTTTTGCTACGTGAAGCCCCTTTGCTACAGTTGGGTTGACTTCCAGAGGTTTTTCTTCTGGTTGAATGTGTTCTCGCAGTTTAGAAGCTCCTTTGTGGATAGCCTTGCCAGTATATTCTGCTCCTTTCATTAGGCCCCAGCTTACCCAAGATGCACCTTCAAGACAAATCATCTTTGTTAATATGTACAGAATTTTACAGACTAGAATTCTGAAAGCTTTGCTTCCCCTGCCTCTCCAGTGCAGACCTTAGCAACATTTCTGATTATAGTCTGCAATTATACTCTTTGCTTAGTGGCCAGCATAAATTCCTGCAATGATTTTTCCTCCTACACCATGTACATTTTTCCATCTCATTTTATTTAAGTCCACTATTAGCCAGCCTTCATTCAAGTCTCAATTTAATACAGAAACTCAGGGTTTTTTTTAATGGATATTTAACTCCCATCAGGGTCAACAGTAATAAAGCTGCACATCTCAATGCCATTAGCATTCTGAATGTGGAAAACCCAATTCTCTGTCTTTTCATTAGCCCTTCTAGCAGCTTCATATTTCTTGTGATCAGCTGGTGGTCATTTATGTATTCCAATATTTATCTGCATAAATCATAGTAGATGCCCACTTTAATGTGACTGCTCATACACAAATAAGATTGCTGCATCACAGTGGTTTGAGTCACATAGGGCAATAACCTAATTTACAGGCTTGAATTAGGAGTCTAGACCGTTTGCTCTGAACAAATCCTTTGTTGGGGATTAAAATTCTGCACTCTTAACAGAACATACCAAAGTATCTTTAGATGACTACAATTGGAAGTGGTGAATAACCATTTCCAACAAGTCAGCCTTTATCAGCATACATGCATTTAAGTATTACTCACTTACAGGTTTGTATTTATTCTAATGCCCTTATGATAGTACCTGACAAGATTCCATGCGCAACTTTCTCACTCCATTCTGGCAACTCTTTCTCTTTTTCCCCTCCTTCAGCTTGTGGTTGGATATGAACAGTCTGAGGCAAGTTAATTGCATCATGAGAGGCTTCTGAGGGCTAACAAGTGAAAGCAAACATCTGAGAACCTATTTCATAAAGTACCAAGATTTTTATTTGAGATGGTCATACAGATCCATTATGGGGGGGAAAAAAGTCAATGCGGTGTGTTCTTCTAGCAAGTGTACATAAAGTTACTGGAATTTTGTGATTCAATCACTTTTGCATAGAAAGGCTGTATATTAAGAAAACCTTATCAAACAACTAAGCATTTTTTGTAAGCTTTCTTCAGTTACAATGACAACATTTGCCTGCCAACAAGGCTGTCTGGTCAAGTAACTAAGTAGCGGTAGTTGACAGCACAATTTAACTAGCAGAAAAGATAAAATCTACATCTATCATGTTTATCTTCCCAGAGGGAAATGAACTCTATTGTTTTTCAGTATAGGAACTGCAATCCCTTTATCTTTGGTCAGAGAATCCAGCTGCACTGAAAAAAAAATGCAGCTGATCTGGTTGTTTGCTTTTCATCCTTCCCTCCCAAATTTCTAAATAAAGCAGATTATTCATTCCATGTGCTGCTGATGCTTTTGCAGAGTGGTACAGCCAAGGAACATTTCAGAGCTGTGCATGATACTGCTGCTCTTGGGCAGATTCTGTGTGAACTCCTCTCAAACTCTAGAGTTTCTGGAGCAGACAGTCAGTAGTTGTTAGCAACCACCACCACAGTGTGGTTAGTGTTTCTAATAACTTGTAATAACCGCACCATGACTTTATATAGTTTGTAGACAATGAATAATTGAATTTTAACTAGAGAGGGCAGAAAAATTGCAATAAATTTAGTTTTTAGTTAGAATTCTACAATGCAAGTATCAAAAGGTAAGTGTTTCAATGATTTAAAACAGCACTGATTAACAAAGGATAAAAGAAAAAAAGGACCATTTTTTCTTCTGGAAGAGTCTGTATGAAAGCATTCCTAGATGAAAGCTATAAACAGAAGAGAAAACATACAAACGATATTTGATATACCATCAATTACACTCCACAGCAGTGTGAAATCTCATTTTCAAGACATGTTTCTGTCTTTAGCAGTTGATCACTTTGAGGAAGGAGTGCAGGAATAATCTTAATATACAGAGCTATAATTTTTTAAAAGGTAAAAAAAGCAGAAGAGAAAAAAGTATGCTCCAGATATAATTTAGTTATACACAGTTTACGTCACCATATAGAAAAAGGTTCAGTGAGTCTCTACTAAGGAGCAGAAATGGGTTCTCTAATGTGAAATACCCCTCTATACTGTACACACATTACATGCAGTTGTTAATTATATTCTCATGAGAACTATATAAACAGAGTTAAATGGCCAGCAGGCTAGGCTTTGAAATGTTTTGCCCAAAGGAAGATATTGACTTTGCTGTATGTCAAAGTTCTTAAAATTCCATAAGTCTGCCACTGATTTTCAGAATTTAGAAGCCCGCAGTAATTGAAACAGCTCTCAGTTAAGGGGGAAAAATAAAGGATCAGGACACAGCATGTGGAAATCTGTGGGACTGTACACTGCAGCTCTCAATCAAATCTAGAATCTCAGCAGTTTTAAGTTGTTTTTCAGTGACAATTTATATTATCACTAAACATTTTAGAATTTCTGTCCCAGAATTTACCTGGACTTCATGGCCAGACATCTGTTTTAACTTATCTTCAAAATGTGCGCTCTCAGTTGCTGGGAGCTCTGAAGATAACCCTACTTTCTCATGGGATCCTGGCACCTGTGACATTGTATCAGGGAACATTAACAGAAACATGGAAATTTACGACAATAAGGGACTACTATAATCTGAACTTCTATGCAGGTCCGATCACAGTTTTACCCAGTTTCTCCTGTTGAACTCGCTAGGATTTATAACATAACCAAACGCCATCCACGTGGCACATTGCAAACTAGATCCTTGCAAGTTGCTGTATTTAATTTTTAGTGATTCAACAAGATGGCATCTTTCATGAAAAGATATAATCTTGTTATCAGCTTTTAAGTGGTTATTGATTACCATTCCTCCTGAAATGTTGCTCCAATGCTTTGTTACAGCCATCATTAACATTTTCACCTTATTTCCAGTCAGTGTATCTAACTGGATTGTGCCTTTCTTGGATTTTGGTTTTTTTCTATTTTCTCTCTGCTTAAAATTCTGCTACAGTAAGGCACCAGATTAATTTATTCTGAGAATTCATTTTAAGGCAGATTTTTGAGGTATTCAGTATTTTCACAGCTCTTCTTTGAGGCTGCTTAACCTTTTTAAACTATAGGCATATCTGGGCACAATATTCTGAGAATGGTTTCATCAAAGCTGTATACAGAGTACATGCATGTGCACATATACACACAGAAAAAAGTTGTTAGCTTTCTCCTAAATGAAAATTTTCATTCAGGCCTACGTTCTGTTCTGGGAAAATAGTAAATATACACAAAATGGCCACTTCTTTTCTATGCTTACAGTTTATTATATTAAAATTTCTGTCCTCCCTATGTCATACTACATATTGTTTCATTCCTAAGCGTGCTTAATCTTGTCTGCATTACTTATTGCATGTTGTTGAGCTTACCAAGCAAGACACAGAACTTTACAGTTTTATACAAGTAAATGTAATCAGGAAAATACACTGATCATTTCTGCTGTTTGGTTTAAAAGAAGCAACCCTGGAATTTACCTGGATTCGAAGATCAGACATCTGTTTTAACAGATCCTCAAAAAGCTCTCTGTCAGCTGCTGGAAGTTCTGAAGACAACACTATTCCCACATAGGACCCTGGCACCTGAGACATTGTGTCAGGGAACATGTAGACTCCAGTACTGCAGCATAGAACAGGAGACTGATTACACATTAGAGGATACATCCAGTCACAAACCTGGGAAAGAGAAGTACATAAAGGAAAGATTATTTTTACAAAATTAAAGGAGCCTATTCACAAGAAAGACAAACAAATGTACCCATTAAAATGAAAACTTAGTTTTCTATACAGTTTAAAAAGTAAAATAAAAGCCTTTTGACATTCTGACCAAACAAACAAAAAAACACCTATGTGATTGTGAGAATATCATCCTTGACTGGCTTTGATAGTCTAATATAGAGCAAATACTAATTCTCACAGGACTAATTCAGCCTGGTAGCCTCTTAACTGAGGCCCAGTTATGGACGCAGATGAAGCATTCAGCCAAACAAATCCGGATTCACAAAGCCTGTAACTTCCTGTAGATTTCTAAACAGGTATATATGATAGAACAAAGAGAAGGCTGTCATTGGCATATCTAGTGCTTGAGAATGCCAGCAGAGGTAGAAGTGAATGAATAGAATCTAATACCAGGAAGGGTTTTTCTGTTTCTTAATGTTTCCCCTTCACAGGTTAGGCCTCCAAGAGCCAAACAATCTTAGCAGCAGCAAAGAGATCCGAGGTCAGAAATTGACCAGAAACAGTATATGTTACAGAATATCCCCAAATTAGTAAGCATGAACTAGAAAATCCAAATAATGTGTTTTCCACTTGTAGTTCAGAGCAGATTAACACTCTGAATTATGAATTCTCCAAGTTAACCGCAATATCCGATCACTAGTTCAGAGAAGCAAGTAGCATGTAAACTTATTTTATACTGAAATGTTACAATAACTGAATCAACATGTCTTCTTTATTTGAAAAAAGGGAAGTTAATTTTATAGTATGAACAGAAGTGTTAGGCAAACTCCTTTAAAAACATGGAATTCATCAAAACAGTAAATACTCAAGAACCTGGGAAATGGCCTCCAGGTGTTCCTCAGAAAAGTCATACAAATGTGCATTTGCAGATAACCATTTCTCCAACATGCAGAGATTCTTTCACTTTGTCTCAGATAAGTTGTTGCTCTTCTGAGCTTAAAGCTAAGATGACAGCCGTTGAAAAATTTTATATTTTTGAAAATATAATTAAAGGAAAAAATTATGTTCTTGTTTTATCACGCTTTATTTGTTACCTGAAGAAATGCAGGTGGATGATTCTGGGCTGTCTCACCACCAGTATCCAGGAACTTCACGATGCGCAGATATCCAGGATAAGAAGGAGCACTAACTTGTCCATCAGGAGTTACAAAGAATATCTGTACTCCTTGGGGAATCAAGATCAGCTCATCTGCATCCACTCCCAGACTTTCAAGGGGAGGTGGCTGACTACACTTTCTGTAGTAGTCCTCACCTACAGATGAAAACTCCCCGGACTCTGTGCCATAAGACACTGTAAAATGGCCATTTGTAGCTTGAGGTGTGTAGGCAGGAGGTGCTTCATTTGGCAGACAAAGAGATTTTGGAGCTGATGGACTCATTGCTGGAATTTGCCCCGCACTCACATTTGCAACACTTCCATCTGCAGTGGGTGGCTGGCTTGGTGCAAACAGAGAATTAGGCGCAGGAGGTCTTCCTGGCTTCTCTTTAGAAGGAATATTTGGGTATAACTTGGGCACCTCAGCAGGCGCACCTGTTGCAGCAGGACTTGTTTGCACAGTCAGGGTGTTTTGTTCTAAAACGCCAAGTCGAGCGTGAACGTTTCGGAGGGTCTCCTTCATCTTTTGTTGCATTTGCCTGGCAGACTCCCACTGGGATCCTACACATGCAGGACCCTGTGATGGAATGCTAATTCCTTTAAGCAAGTGGTCAAGTCCTTGCTTGTAGTAATTTCTTGCCTCTTCCTTCTGACCCACTTCATCTGTATTCAGTCCTTTATTGATAAATATAAAGGCCTTCCTGTACTCTTCGTTAATAGCTTTAATATTTGCATCTTCTTGGGTAACCAAATCCTGCACTTGTTCCATTACTGCAAACTGGAATAAGAGTCAGTCAGATTGTTCATAGATGAAACTAAAAAACTTAATCTTACAATAAAACGTCTTCCAACTTCTAATAATGTTCATACTGTTCACATAATGTTCATTAGCAGAAAGATATCTAGCTGCTTGGTACAAAGTCTGATCTGTTATGCTTATCTCCTATTAACCTTTAGATTTAGGATATAAGATTCCAAGTCAGCATGGAATTTAACTCTGTAACCATCAAATCTAATTACCTCATACGCCTATTCCTAAAAGTTAAGCATTAGAACAATACAGAGATGCCTGATACTAAACCTCCATCTTAAAAAAAAAGTCTTAATAGCAGTACCAAATAGTGGAGGAAGAAAAAAAAAATCTAAATTTACTTTTGATAATGTTTTCTAGAAAATACCCAAGGTGTTAAAAAGTTAACATTCTGTAAAGGTCAGTTAACATTCTGTCTAATTCAGTTAACATTCTGTTGATTTAAATAAAGGCGTGAACCTACTAACTCAGTACATTTTTATTATGTGATTTAAGAGAAAGCACTTAACGGATTGAGGCAGATCTTAAAAGATGTCGACTAGTATCAACACACACAACTGGAAAGAAATATTCTGAACAGTTCAAGCTGTGCTTTACAAAATGAAAACAGTAATATCTTACATTAAGGGAATTACTGATTTCCTTTTCAGTGTTTATATAAAGGCAGAAACAAAAGCGGTGTTCTTCCTTTCCTGCTCCCCAGAAGACAAAAACCTGATGCACTGCTACAGACAAAAGGTTCTTTTACTTTTATTTTGTAAGGTATTCCTCAGCCAGCTAGCCTCATGTATATTTCAACAACCGAGGAGCAGAAAAGAATCCAATAGGTTCATTTAAACTTTAAGATGTGTAAAATCACTGTTTGAATCAAATGCAGTTCTTCAGTCTTATCTAAATGCAGTAGAAGAAATCATTCTTGGACCAAGGCAATATTTACCACACAAAATGTAAAAATGCTCCAATGAATTTTTCCGCTGATAGCAGAGACTCAAAAACAAACAACAAACTAGGCTGTTATGGTAGAATAATCAACTTGGAAAACAACAAAAATTGGATACTATTTAAATGGGAAAGAACATACATTTTCTGCTGTAAGTTGGGAGGAAGAAAAGGGGAAAATTTAGAGGCCTTTGTCAATCACTCAATGATAACAAGCTACAGAAAGCGTGGCCACAAAAAAGGTAAGCGAAATCCAAAGAAAATCAGGAAAGAAAAAGATACTTCCATTATACATAGAAAACCATTAATGCCATTGTATAAAGCATTGGTGAGACCTCACACAATGCTAAGCTTCATTGGAGAAAGCTGTCTCTAAACAGGAAGATGTATAAACAAGGGTCACTGAAATTTTCTGATGAACTAATTACTTGTCTCCAAGGAGAAGAAAAATATGGTTGCCTTATTAAGCTAGTTAACCAAAAAGACTGGATTAGTCTCTAGAAATACACAGGATGAAAAGTAAAAAACACTGGAAGAAAGTAAGACAGGAAAGAAGAAACGATTGTTAAAATCCTAAAATAGAACTTACATTTCACTTTATTCCCTCCTTGTTTTATGCTAACTATCAATAAAGCAAAAGAAATAAAGTTATAAGCTGGAAATTTTCCTTCCTCTAACCCAATAAAAAACCTCAAACTTAAGAGGTGAGGGTCACAAAAACTATAAAGATGCAAAGCGTACTGTGCTCTGTTTCTACATCTTTCATGAACAAAGTGCAGATAGCACTTACATGACCGAAGCATCTCTAGCCACATGACAGAAGTATGATGTAATCTGCTACACTTCTGTACTTCACAGAATCACAGAATGGTTGAGGTTGGAAGGGACCTCTGAAGATCATCTAGTCCAACTCTCCTGCTCAAGCAGGGTCGTCTACAGCATATTTCCCAGGATCGCGTCCAGACGGGTTTTGAATATCTCTAGGGAAGGAGATC